CGGTAGATAAACATCCGAAATATTCAACTAATAAGTATAAGCAACGCAACGACAGAAGAGCCCTAGTGAAGGCAGGTACGACTCGACCAAACACTTACCTGTCATAAAACTGTCAGATACCAGGTGACAGTAATCGCTTGTTGAACCTTCGTGAGATTTGATTTTATGTCATGGTACAAGTCAATGTTCTTCAGGGTAACAAAAAAAAATTTTCTTGTTCCGTTGTAATTGTTTGTATGAAAAGTAAGAGGAAATATTATGTTTCTCGGGAGGGTAATTTATATAAGTAGTTCCCTCAGTGGCTGTGTCTCTAAGTCTTCTCTCTCCCATCTACTTGTTGTTGTAAGGGGTGATGGCTACCTGTTGCATGCTTAATAACTTTACCTTCCCTCCCTACCTACCTCCCTCCCTCCCTCCCTCCCTCCCTACCTACCTCCTTCCCTCCCTCCCTCCCTCCCTACCTTCCCTCCGTACCTCCCTACCTTCCCTCCGTACCTTTCTTCCCTCCCTCCCTCCCTTTCTTCCCTCCCTCCTTCCCTCCCCACCTCCCCACCTTCCTTCCCTCCCTACCCACCTCCTTCCTCCCCTCCTTACCTTCCCCTCCGTAATTCCTTCCTTCCTCCCTCCCTCCCTTCTTCCCTCCCTCCCTATCTTCCTTCCGTGGTGCCTTCCTTCCTCCCTACCCTCTCCTTCCCTCCTCACCTCCTTTTTTCTCTCACTTTCCTTCCTTCCCTCCCTTCCTACCTTCCTTCCCCCTCCCTTCCTTCTTTCTCTACCCTCTCACTCCCTCCATCCCTACCTTCCTTCCTTCCCTCCCCCCTACCTTCCCTCCCTCCCTCCTCCCTCACCTTCCTTCCCTCCTACCTTCCCTCCCTCCCCACCTTCCTTCCTCCCTCCTTCCTCCCTCCCTTCCTTCCCTCCCTTCCTTCTTTTCTCTGCCTCTCTACTCCTCCTTCATCCCTCCGTCCCTTAGTGCCCCTCCTCACCCTTCCGTCTCTCCCTCCACCCACGCCCCTCCTCCATCCCCTCCCTCCTCACCATAACGGTAGAATAAATGAGCCTACTGCCTCAGACATCACCAGCGGCCAGAAATGATTGATGAAGCAACAGATTACACCCAAAATTACATTATCATAACCAAATTAAATGTTTAAATTACCCAGGTAACTTATAGGTCCCCAGGTAACTTATAGGTCACCAGGTAACTTATAGGTTCCCAGGTAACTTATAGGTTCCCAGGCAACTTATAGGTCCCCAGGTAACTTATAGGTCCCCAGGTAACTTATAGGTTCCCAGGTAACTTATAGGTTCCCAGGCAACTTATAGGTCCCCAGGTAACTTATATTATAGGTCCCCAGGTAACTTATATTATACAGTAGGTCCCCAGGTAACTTATAGGTCCCCAGGTAACTTATAGGTCCCCAGGTAACTTATATTATACAGTAGGTCCCCAGGTAGCTAAAAGGTCCCCAGGTAAATTATATTATAGGAGGCATCTCGTACTCCCACTGACTCAGGTAAACTTAATGTAGACTCAGGTGAAAGACCGTCAAGGTAGATTCATTGACTCAAGGTTAGACTTATTCGTCAAGGTAAACTCAAGTAGTAAGGTCCTCTTTAAGTGTAAACTTCGAGGATAACATATTAAGTGTTAATTACTAAATATTCCAACTCATTAAACAATAATTAAGCCTCTTAATACATAATTATGGGAAACGAGAAATTAACAATAATAATAAATAATAAAATCCTACTACTACTACTACTAATAATAATAATTAATACTCGCGGGTCACATATAATACTTTTGGGCTACACACACAGCTACGGTTCGCTCCACAACACACCTCACCACTTTTCCTCGCCTCTATTATAACCTTAACGACTCCTATCACCTTTAATCTAATTGTAAAACCTATTTGGCAATAACGTGATTTCTGGTGTTAATAGCAGTAGCAACAGCAGCAGCCCTCATACGTTGCAATAATGGTGTTTAATGGTGGTAATAACACCATTTTTAAGTTTTATATACACAGGAGGGGGGATGGGAGGGAGAGAAGGGGAGGGGGGGAGGGACAGTAGGGGAAGGGGTAGAGGAGGGGAGAGGGACTGATTAGTAGGAAGGAGCCAGTAGAGAGGGGGAGAGCTTGACTGTGAATGCGCATTTTATTCCACACAAAGAAATGATAGATTCATGTTTTCATTTTCTCTCTCTCTTTTTAATGTTGGTAAATTGCCGCCGCTGAGTTAAGGGGAGGCTGAACCATCGCCAAGTAGGTGGAAAGTGTTTAATAAAAATAAAAAAATAAATAAAACAAAAAGAAAGAAAGGGATTGGAACTTATTCACTGTGGGGTCGAGACGTGTGGGTGGGTGGGTGGCGATGTTGTTCTCACCAGGTTATATATGACTTGATTTATGGGGTTCGATTCTCTCGTCTCGATACTGTTTATGTCACGTTTAAATGCGATATATAAGTAGTGACTCTCTCTATTAATGTG